TATGTCTCCAACCGAAAATCGTTTATTCATACTTTTGGGAAGGTCTTTGCAAAATTTCGTGAGTATACGAAAATTTGCAGGTTCAATTCCATAAATGTCCATAAATGACTGGACTACACAAGTTTAGAGTTAACTTTAGAGAAACTCATAAATCATTATTATCTAAAATTAAGCTGTCAGTGTCCATGATCAACCTATGGCTACAATGTTTTACGTGAAAATTGAAATGTAAAAATCAGGAGTAATATAAAAAGTGTATTTTTAGATTAAAGTGCTATCTCATAGTTTAAGAATTGTATAGATTAACGTTTGTCGTTTAGCCATCTAAGAATCGATCGTGCCGTAATATATATGGCCAAAGAATAATAGGGTCTTGGAAATTCTATAGTTGTTCAGTGGGTCGATTGACTGAACACGTTTGCACTTGGTATTTAATTTAAAGATCATACAAGTAGGACGATAACTAGGTAAGTCAAATTCAAAACACTCCGCACACTGTACACTCCAATCAGTATTTAGTAGACCGGGTATTTTTCGGTTCCCACGGCACCGTTCTGATAGGAGCTACTTCTACTAATGGTCCCATGGGAACGGCCGTAAAATAGCCAGACTTCTTGTCTCCTGTACTGTCTGGCACGTGTGGATTAAAGTAAGAAATTTCGCTATGCTAAAAATATAATTGCTCTCGGAACTATGTCTTTTAGGACAGCGAACCATTCGACTGCTCGCATTCTTCCGAACAACTGTAATATTATATTACAGAGTTACACTCTGATCAGCTATATTTAATATATAGCACATTATTTTGTGTATTAGTTTCATGTACTGGGGAAAAATAATCGGTACAGTCTCCCTTCGTTTGTAATGAAGCAATGAAAACAATCCAAAATTATCACATATGACATAACTTGTAATAGCAGAAACTTTCTAACCGTACATTCACCCGCCACTGTTCAAGAACTTATGTCACTGTTTAAAATCCTGACGTGAGCACTGTACATCCAATCAGCTATTCATATAGTTAGGGTGATAGCCAAAACTATAAGGATTTTGTAGAACTAGGGAAATAGTCATAACTCTAAAATTTGAGTGAGTTACACGTGTTTTATTGACGATGATAAACATTTGTGCATTGTATTACACTATGCAAGCGCGCACTGAGGGACTTTATGACGTCACGCAGCCACAGCTTATTATTACAATAACACGCGTTACACGTACGCTAGAGAGTTGGTTCTTTCGGCGATACGATTCTTTACCAGTTTGTCACAGCTGATTTAAATCTTAGCCAAATTGGAGACTACAAATTTTTCAGTTAACTGGTCCTTTAATAATACCTGTCACTAATTATAACAATAAAACCCGTCATTTATAACAATATCCGTCATTAATAAATACAGGTCACTAGTTATCATAATATTAATACAGTTATTATACCATTATTATTTCATTCTTATATCATTATTATAGTTTCATGTTTTTATTACATCTCTTTTTATTCTATTAGTTAATTTGTTTATCTTTTTAGAACTTTTACTAATTTTTTTTGTAGATACAAGTAAAACAAATAATTTTAATATTCAAGGATTTATATTTCAAACACAGTTATACTCTAAATAATAAGATTCTATTAGTCACTTTCTTTATCGGTCATATCATTAGTTTCTTCGCTATCTTCTGTTTCAGTATTTTCTCCGTTATTTGATAAGTTTATACTATTTTCGTCATCATCGTCACTTCCACTGTCAGAACTTTCCCTGCTATCAGTATCAGAGTCTGTTAATTCTTCATTTTCAGAATCAAATAGCTGTTCGAATTCCGGTTTAAGGAGACCAAATATCTTGACCAGTTCCATGAACTCTTCGTCGATCATATCTTTAGCCTCTGTCTTTGAAAAATTTGTAAATTCGGTCAGTAAATTTATATCCTTTTCACTTATCTCTGACAAGTCCATATTCTTCAGTATAAAATTAATTACTTGTCGCACTTTTGGAATGTCAGATTTTATTTCTTCAACATTTTCGGCGGCAACTAGGGATTCCATTTCAATCACATTGTCGACTAAGTCTCTTGATTGAAGATCAATTTCTTTCTGGTTCAGTTGTTCTGTATTTTTGCGGTCCCTCATTCTAGCTTGTCTTAGTTCATTAATATCAATTTTATTTGATTTCGCGAGAAAATCAAGTTCCTGAAGCGAGAATTTCACCGTATCTACCATTGTTTTCAATTCTTGACAGTCAAATTCTGGTACTTTGTCATCTAATTCACCCGTTTTTACTGTCTCCAGGGAGTGATCATCAAGATAGCTGGTATATTTTGGAAATTTATTCTCCGCTTTTCCAGATCCCTCCATCGGAGAATCGGAGTTGAAAACATAATGTGTAGTTTTAGAATATGGTTTATCCTGAAATTTTTGTGGAGTATTTTCCGAATGATAAGCATATCTGTGTGTTCTGAGACTTCCAGAGTTCTTGTAGCGTTTATCACAAAAATTACATTGATATGATTTTCTCATTTTTGTTTGTAGCACTACAGAATTATATGAGTGGATACAATTCTGGAAATGATTAAATTTTTGATGGATCTCCTCCTTATATAGCCGAAAAACCAGGCATGTTAATTTGTCTTTAATTTTGTGCATTGAAAATTAAAAATCAATCATTCGTGATTTTAATCTACAAATTCGAAAGGAATAAGCAGCTTGACTTACTTCCTATTATAACATAATTTATCAGTTTCTACAGGTTTCCAATTTACTTCTACTTATTAATAATAGACATTTAAAGTCAAACTCGATACCATGAACGCCACTATAATTATTGACAAAAAAAAAATATGTGCATCATTTTCAGGCTATAAAAGGACCTGAACTTGTGGCCGTTAAATCATTAATTTCCATTAAACTCGTTATGGATGCAGCAATTCTACAAACCTTGCCAGAGTTGTACCGCCCAGTTTATCAACAAAACTGGAGAACAATTAGAGAAAGTCTCAAACATGGTCGGATACGTGATACGTTTCATTTCCCTCTTTTTGAAAACGAAGATAGCGAAATTAAGTCTAAAGCATAACGGGTAATTTCAAACTACAATCGTAAAATTAAAATAAATGTCGCTTTTGGTTTCATTCTGAAAAATCGGTCCACTGACGAACTCAAGTTTTTCCACCCATCAAACAATACGATGTTATTTCTGACACCAAAGCTGTTGGAAAATGCTTCAGATTATGAGCAATTTAGAACTGACATCGAAAAAGAAGACGCCTTTCAGTATGCGAGAACAAACAGGCCATCAACAAACTGGAAAGTAGCAAGAATAATTTGTGTTCGATTTGCTGTTTACAAGATGTAAGAAGCGTTTTGATTCCATACGTATTTATATTCGTAATTTAAAAGAATTTCTCGTAATATGTTTTACATATAAATACTCATGTATTTGAATTTCTTAAAAAATCACATTTTAACAATTAACCTGTAGTTTTATTTGGTTCGTTAAGTCTGAAGTCAGTAACTGACAAGCACTAACACAGCTGTTACCGTAACTTATGTACTGGGACTATATATTGATAATACAATCTTGATATTAACCACGTCATGAAAGTGCTCTCTAATTACGTTACCACATCAACAATATCGTTGTTACGTGAATGTGTACACTATAATACATTTAACGACTTCTGCTGTGTAATGAATGTGTTTAGTTGATACATCTGTATCACATAACGTAGGGTTAAATAAAATTGATTGGTGGGTTAAACTAGGTTAAATATTTAACGTCATAATAATATAATCACATTGGAGAACGACTCCGACTGGGATTTGAACTTGCAACCCCTGGCATAAAATCCGGCAGATTAACCAACTGCACCACCTGGGTGATTGCATAATTACATGCGGTTTTTAAAAAATGTGCCCCAATTTTTGCTTAAATACAGCTCCAAAAATCCCTCATACACTACTTACGTAAATGCAGCAGCATGGCAGAACAGCCCAGGAAACCTTACTAATACTAATACTGGTAGGGGCCTAACTTCGAAAATAAAAGAGATAGAAACGTCTGGTTTTCAACAAAATGTTTGCCTTGTAAAAATAGAGTTTCCTTATTTTGGGCCTTACAAGTGCGCAGCTTTAACTTTGCGGATTCTTGTTCTATGATTGCAGCTGAATCGTATCACGTGGTACACTGGTACGTGGTGCAACTGCAATTGCATTCTTGGAATGTTTGAAGCGTGCAAATGCAATGACAAATAAACTAACGAGCGCGCGTGGAGTTCAACAATGAACAAGTTGTGAAGACGCGATCACCTTTGGCTTTATTAGTAATATCGCCAGCCAGTAAGGTCTGCTGGGGACTGTAGAGTGATTTAGCACGCTGGCAATGAGAGATCGAGATCGAGTAAAGGCAAAGCTTGTAGTGTAGCGCGATGCACTACTAGTACTTGAACTTCGGTAGATCGGCGAGATGCACCACTGGGCCTCACCGAGCTGCGAAGGGTTGACGTCGTGAATCAAGAGTAAAGCTATATAAATATAATGTCTAACTCTAAAGCCAAAGGACGTCAATAACGTGATCCGCCGCGGCTAGGTCTAATTAAAGTATAAGTAACACCAGTAGCCGAAATTGTGCGGCTCTTTTTCATGACTACGCAATGCAATTTAATTTTAATGGCTTTTAAGGTTCGCCATACACCATAACAAGCCATGGCTGATAATTATATTTATAAGAATGTATGATGTATGATCTCCAATGTTGAATGTCATAGTCTTCGTAGGTTTACAACCTACCAGGACGCGCGCCGAGTTGGACTCGTCGACTATATGGAACAGATATTTTACGAGTATCACCCGTTAACATAGTCTCAGGAGTCACAGCCACACGAAAAGCTTGCCATTTCGTTCTGGTGTTAGATTTTCCCGAGGATCCTTTTTTGTTTTTACAGTAAAAAGTATAAATATCATGAGAACTTGGTTACTCGGCACAAACAAATGAAAACGAAGAACATTTTGTACTAATATATAACATCATTCATTGTATTTCAAACAATTATGTTCACAGTTCCACACGCATTATATCAACGTTAAACTACGGAAAGTTTCGGTTTTTTTGCAAGGTATTTTAAGATAAAAAATAAACCGTGGGCGGTCATTCACATCATCATAATCAACTAATGTATATATATATACTCACAAGGATAAACTTAATTCAGTTTAATACGATTTTAAATTCAAACGCCCGGTTATCAGTCCATAGCTAGGTCGGAAAATTTAGTTGTGATTCGGAATAAAGGGCCGCGTAAACTCAGAACCGAACATGAGAATTACCTGGCAGTTAGGTAAGGATCGCATCGAACCAATCTAAGTTAATCTCTGTAATTAAAGATGTTTCCCGAGAAATCCATTAGTAAGCTTACAATGTACCTACATGTAAGTTACATTGGAATTATTGCTCCAATATTCAATAATTAGTCCTAGACGAAACAATTAGTATCCTCGACCAGTCTAATTGAGTACCAGTAGGCAGGTAGTACCTACTGTAGTAGTACTAGGCACACTAATGGAGCTCATTTTAACAGATTATCTATTAGATCTTAAATTGCTGAAAATTTCGTACATCAATTTTTATTCAACGTTTTTAGATTTTTTAGCCGGTTAGTTTTGGAGTTAGACTTGTTGTGACGAAACCATTTAATCAGAAAAATCAATTGAGTCTTGTTTCGGAAATTGGAAACATAATGTCAGGATAAAGGAAATAAAAACTAGAAAAGTCTCAAATTGTAAAGGAGCAGAATCGCTGGTTGCCGAGCTACAATTACGTCGTCCTGCCCCAGCCGGGCTTGAGTTTTGGTTACCGAGACAACCGCGTCACCAAGTAATCTTGAAGAAAACGCGGAGATTAAAGCTCGCATCTTTTCAGTCAAGTTCCCGAACGTATGTTGCCGGAAACATTCCGCGTCTACCGTTACATTCCCCTTCCCACCAGTTAGCTGAAATTGTGGAATTTTAAATATATCCTACATTCCTGGGCCTGGTATGGGGGCTGGAGTAAATTTCTTGTGAGGTTGGAATTACTAGTATTATTGTAAGGGCCACTGTGTTTTCTTTGTTATCGCTTTAAATTACACTTGTTATATCTAGAAGATGTGATGGGTTTGTATCTAGAAGATGTGATGGGTTTGTAACTAGAAGATGTGGTGGATTTGCACAAGGAAATTGATATCAGTTTCATTGAAGTTGTGTTTACATTTTATTTGAACTGGAATGCAGCCAGGATTTTACGAGTTGTAAATTGATAAACTAGGGAGTTCACTAGAACCCATAATAAGTGAACAAGGGTAATATGTAGGACATATAAGGGTAATATGTAGGAAATATAAGGGTAATATGTAGGTAATATAAGGGTAATATGTAGGTAGGGTAGACGTACCGTCAGCTCTGTTAATAATTCGGATTTTAGCTCCCACAACAAGTCTTATCTCGTCAGGATTCTGGGGCTGAAACTCGTACAGAGCCTCGCAGAACTGCTGTGGGGTTAAATAAAACTAATAATCAGGTGACTGAGGTATCAACTTTAGATAAAGTTGAATTTTCAAGATTAAAACATCATTTTTTGTACAGTATAATGTATATATATATAGGTTTGACTATATATAATATATATAAAAATCGCCCTACGCGTCGAGGATTAAACAGATGAGTGCTTCAAATTAGAAACCAGATAAGATGAAATAACTTCAAATTAGAAACCAGATAAGATGAAATAACTTCAAATTAGAAACCAGATAAGATGAAATATATAAATAACTTACCTCCTGCTGGGCGGGAGGCGGCTGAAAATATAAACGTTAAAAAACGAGGTACAACAACAAAAAGTAGTGTATTATACTTATATATAAGTACGTGCAATCACGAAGCATTTAACGAAAAGAGCAGTGAAGTGATAACTTAATTTCTACAGAGCAAGATTTAAAGTAATTTGCGGAAATACATTATAATAATGATAATGTGTTCAGCAGAGAAGTTCCTAACGAACAGGTCAGCTAAAGTTTGTATTGAAATCCAGCGAATGATGAGAAATATTCAAAATACAGCGAAAGTCGAGGATAAATCAACAACTCGGCGGGTTCTGAATCAAAATAAAAGAAATTTAAAAATCTGAAGTGATTGAAGATTATATGAAAATAATAGAAGCAGTAAGAATACAGTGCAGTCCATACCGTGCTTTTAACCGGTGCCTTGGGGCTAGGGTTCATGCTTATGCTGGGTTGTACTACCGGTCCCGGTGGTACCTAAACATATTGTTCACAGATTCGTCATCATTTATAAGCAACAAATACCCGTTGATGATTGATTATTAAAGCCGAAATGAAAGTGGAGACTCTTATTTCATTGTCAATTAATTTATATTAGAAAGCTAAGATCAAACATGCAAATCTAAAAGATGTCCACATTGCATGAGAGCCATTAAATCTAGCTGCACTAACTGATAGAAAGTATAAATATAATATCAGGGCTCAATTTTAAATTTACAGTTATATGATAACACTTTTCCACAAACATGATGATTAATGTACGTTCACCAGCTCTAAAAATATATTATAATAATCATAATGTATTCAGCAGAGTAATTTATAACAAAGATAGCTTAAATTCAGATCAGCTAAAATATGTTTTGAAATCATGCATTTCAGCGAATCATGGGAAATAATCAAAATACAGCGAGGATAAATTGACGATCAAAATAATCAGAATAAAAGAAATTTAAAAATCTGAAGTGATTGAAGATTATATGAAAATAATAGAAGTATACAGTCCATACCGTGCTTTTAACCGGAGCCTTGGGGCTAGGGTTCATTCTTATGCTCGGTTGTACTACCGGTCCCGGTGGTACCTAAACATATTGTTCACAGATTCGTCATCATTTATTAGCAACAAATACCCGTTGATGATTGATTATTAAAGCCGAAATGAAAGTGGGGACTCTTATTTCATTGTCAATTAATTTATATTAGAAAGCTAAGATCAAACATGCAAATCTAAAAGATGTCCACATTGCATGAGAGCCATTAAATCTAGCTGCACTAACTGATAGAAAGTATAAATATAATATCAGGGCTAAATTTTAAATTTACAGTTATATGATAACACTTTTCCACAAACATGATGATTAATGTACGTTCACCAGCTCTAAAAATATATTATAATAATCATAATGTATTCAGCAGAGTAATTTATAACAAGGATAGCTTAAATTCAGATCAGCTAAAATGTGTTTTGAAATCATGCATTTCAGCGGATCATGAGAAATAATCAAAATACAGCGAGGATAAATTTACGATAAAAATAATCAGAATAAAATAAATTTAAAAAGCTGAAGTGATTGAAGATTATATGAAAATAATAGAAGCAGTAAGAATACAGTCCATACCATGCTTTTAACCGGAGCCTTGGGGCTAGGGTTCATGCTTATGCTGGGCTGTACTACCGGTGGTACCTAAACATATTGTTCACAGATTCGTCATCATTTATTAGCAACAAATACCCGTCAGTGAGGGTATTTTCTTGTTAATGCCATAAAACTTTACCCAATGATCATAATCAGATTTTAAGTTTACATGAAAAATACTTTTCATTCTACACTATCTTGAGCGGGTCGACACTCGACAATGACTGATTAATGAAGACGAAATTAAAGTGGGGACTCTCATTTCATTGTCAATTAATTTATATTAGAAAGCTAAGATCAAACATGCAAATCTAAAAGAAGTCCACATTGCATGAGAGCCATTAAATCTAGCTGCACTAACTGATAGAAAGTATAAATATAATATCAGGGCTCAATTTTAAATTTACAGTTATATGATTATAACACTTCTCCACAGACAATGAATTTACGTTCACCGGTTCTATGATACATATCAAATATGGCGGACAAGCCTTACCTGGTCGGATTTTCTTCGGAAATCTTTTAAAAATATGTGCTGAGTTTTGCTGATGCTTTGTTCCTTGTGATACTTGATGAGCGTGTTGAGTGAGGGGAATTTCATCACCCAGAGGAAATATTTCCCTTCGCCGTCCCGGAGCACTTTATAATGCTGGACCGCGTCTCCGTATCTTAGGAGAGGAGCATTAGTATTACAGAATACGGGAAGACGAGCCAACACCAGGTTATAGTGAGAGATAATTATTGAGATTTCTTACTTGTGATCTTAGGGGAAATAAAGACATGATTTAAATTATAGCTTAGCGCTGGATGTAATAATTTGTACTTACTTGACGGACACGGAGAAATCGCCTGAAAGAATGGCATTGTTAAGTTTAATAACAAATATTCACACAATGACCGCTTAGCCGGAAAGTTGGTTCTTCAGAAATCGAAGGTTAGTCAAAAGTAACATTATTATCGATAATGTACACAGCTAGTTTTTGATCCGCGCGCGCGTCAAACGCGCGCATCCGCACTGCTTACAAGAAAAAAGTTGGGTAAACCTAAACATACATTTGCTAGTCATTTGCAAAGTTCAAATACTTGTCCCACAAGTTAAACATAACCGGTGCTAAATTTACAGAATGGGTTCCGTCGGTTGCGTATTATTATCCATTAGCGTTGCAGCGCAGAGCCCGATGACATGACAAGCCGCTCAATACACGATTATTAAGATACATGAGATTTCATGTCCAATTCTTATTTGGAACACATCCTCATTTCTTCTAGGAGAGTTTGCAATAAAATCATATTACCTGTCACTTGGGTTCACGCATTGAGTTGGAAAAATGGTTCGGGGGCCGGGGGGTGGGGGGGGGGTGGTGAGACCGGGGGGGGGGGGGGGGGGGTTGGGGGATCATACACGCACAAGTACAGATCACCCCAACTAAGTACCCCGGATTCCAGACATTAGAATGTAATTTTATCAGAACTAACCTGGGTTAGCCTCGCTGTCCCTAACTAGAAATGAACCGTCTCCACCTTCAGTTTTCAGTATTCGCTCAGCTTCGGAACGAGATGTCCGTCCGTACCACCAACTGAGGAAAGTAGCTAATTAAAGGTTATTAACCAGGCTTATTAATAGTAAATTAGTTATCAACCAGGTGCAGGTTACTTGTTAAAATCGCACAGACAGGTTCATGAACAGTAAACTGTTAAAGAGTTTTGTTTTGGAGAATATTGTGTATCATATTTCATACTACCTTTACTCACTAATATTTCTTTAAGTTTATAATATTTATTATTTACTGATTTTATCTCTGTTGATTATTTGGTAAGTATTGAAGTCTGTAGTCCAAGACATGACTGTCAAATAGTTAGCCTTCAGGTCAGCCAATCACTATACACTATTATATATACTATACACTATACAGCCAATCACTATACACGCTATGTGAACATATTTAAACAGGAACTTGAATGTATACATTCGCCAGAAATAACAATGTAAAATACACTCTCAGTACGTACTGTACTCTGTAGTACTGTACTGTACACTGTAGTACTGTACTGTACACTGTAGTACTGTACTGTACACTGTAGTACTGTACTGTACACTGTAGTACTGTACTGTACACTGTAGTACTGTACTGTACACTGTAGTACTGTACTGTACACTGTAGTACTGTACTGTACACTGTAGTACTGTACTGTACACTGTAGTACTGTAGTGTACACTGTAGTACTGTAGTGTACACTGTAGTACTGTGCTGTACACTGCTGTACATTAGTATACACCACGGCGCATAAGGTGTGGTGTTGTTAAACACGGAGTTCAGAGAACCTGTAAAGAGAATATGTCAGGACATATTATGTAACATGTACATTACATAATGTGGCGAATGTTTAAACTGCACCACTTTTATATAATACTAGTATATACCTTCTCAACTACAGTCAATCAACGGGCTGTGACTAAAATATCACATCTTTCAAGACAACTACTAAAACAAACAATGTCATGTGTGTGTATTTATATAGTAGTAATGTTATACACTCATCTCTACACATATTTTTACATATTACATCACATAAACATATCTTTCTTATTTCTAATTAAAGTTATATAAGTTGTCATGTTTTCTGTGTGATAAAATACACTGAAGATAGTGTCTGTAAATGAAGCAGAGTGTACAATGCAGATGGCAATGTTGAATTACATAGCTATTGACACAATTTAAAACTACATTTGCTGTATGAAACTCAATTATGGGGGTAGAGGTGCCTTCGTAAGAACAGCCCCCACACTCAGCAAATACTTCAGAATTACTTGAAATCCGCAGACTTCGGTATTGGTTTCAGGAGAGCGGTAACGAACATGAAACTGAAGCTAAAGCAGCCACTATGAGACTTAATCTCCTTAAAATAATCCTTCAAATCTTAGCTAGCCACTTAACTCGCTACCTAAATGGTTATTACTTAAATATTGCTGGACATATTCAAAATAAGAGCGATTCCAGAATCCAGATGTTATCAATAAATACGGGTATACGCCTCCCATAATGTATAAATACTAACTTTTTGCTTATAAAGTTCACTTTTTATGATTTAATAAGGATAAGATATTTACTCGGTATTGACTGGTATTCATGTGTACAGAAGATGTAACATTTGTGGAACATTCCTCTCAAGTTACAGAACCGCCCCTATCTCTCTAAGCAGGGGTGTAAGAAGCGGGGGGGGGGGGCAGGTAGGCTGTTATCTCATCACATATTAGATAGTACAGATCACTGCAGGGAACTAACACTACACCATTAACTGTATAAAGTGCACTGTCCCCCCCAGCTACAGATAACCTGTAGACATTACCATATATGCAGGGAGAGTTAGCAGATCAAACAGCCCCCTATAAGGGGAGGTGATGAGAGTTGGATGACACTGGGGGAGCTGTATTAACTCACTGTACCGCACTGTATTGACCTATCTTACAGCAGTTACTCCGCAAGCAACCAGTTACTTCTTGTTTAAACGTGTACACGGACCTGGCAAAACTCCAAGTCGGACCTGAACTTTACTGAGATGGGACCTATCTTTACTTGGGTGTGGGGGTGTGTACAACGTGACCTTTAGAGGACAGTTTGAGATTGATAGTGGTAATAAAGGTGACGTGATCTGAATGTAGAAATGTTATTTAAAGAAATGCATTGGTAGGTTATCTTACCTGGTAAAGAGAAGATGTCGTCATCTAACGCATGATTCAGTCCTATTTTTATTCATTAAGCTATACAATTCATGTTTCGTAATAACGTTTTGTCATTTTGTTATACCAATACAAAACGTAACATTTATCTCTGTGTACACTCTACACAGTGCACATGATGATGTGTAACACATCCAATAATCCAACCTTTCGACTTTCGTATTTTGAGAGCCTAAGTTAAGAGGGGACGATAAGAGGGGGGGCGTTAGGGGCACAGTATCAAGTTACACTGGTGTTACAGAGCCAGGGAGTGTTATTAACCTGGTCTCAGTTTACACTCACAATACCTTAGCAGATGAAATGTGATGACTTTATGTAGTCGTGTACAATTAGGATGTGGATATGTCACGACCTACCGTACAGTGTACACCATTGTGTTACAACATTACACGTGATTTTCTACTTTCGGGTAGCAATGTTGACATGTAGCTACTAATACTCTTAGCGACGCCTCCCCAGACTCAGCTACAGATCACTTAGGAGTTAAAAGGTAAAACAAATTTAAGTTGTAATGGTAGGTTATTTTATAGTTCCATTATTAAACAAATGGAATGTAATGAGGATAAACTAAAATAAACTAAAATAAACTAAAACAAACTAAAATAAAGTGAAATTGATAATTTTCCGACTAAAAATATCACAAACAACCGGCGCCTGGTCAAGTAGTTAGTTCTGGGTTCTGTTTTGATATTACACAAATACTAACAATATATCTCGAACAAATCTAGAGGAGTTTGTTAATTTTTTGGTTGACTGAAAGCACGCTGGTAACAATTAGCATAATGACACTCTAGAATTTCAACTCGCTAAAATACACTAATGTAGTAACAGTTTACAGTATAATATATTGTACTGTCTGCATGGTTACCAGAACTGAAATATTCCAGCCTTTCTGACCAACACCATAACCATAATGCAAATAAGGAGTACAAGCACTGTAAAGCTGTAATGTGTACTGTTATGTGTGTACTGTAATGTGTACTATGATGTGTACTATAATGTGTACTATAATGTGTACTGTAATGTGTGTACTATAATGTGTACTATAATGTGTACTGTAATGTGTATTATGATGTGTACTATAATGTGTACTATAATGTGTACTGTAATGTGTTTACTGTAATGTGTACTATAATGTGTACTGTAATGTGTACTATAATGTGTATTATAATGTGTACTATAATGTGTACTATAATGTGTGAACGTTTTAACTTTGGGAACTTTATTCCGTTGATTCAATCATTCGATATAACAATTTCATTATCATGATGACAGATGTCAGTACAAGGTACAAATGTAACATAGCACCAAAAACAAAGTATTTTAGAGCAGAGGTAGCAGGGACGATGTGTACATCAGGTGATATCACAGTCGAGTGTTGTTGCAAAATTTAAAATTGTCTAGGCAGTCCAGTCCTGTCATCACTGTATTCAGTAAGCAACCAGAATACACTAGAATACACACTGTGTACTCCCTTCTCACAACTAGAATACACACAGTGTACCAATACCGGGGCCAGTTACCGAGGCCTCAACTACCGGGGCCTCAATTACCGGGATCTCAATTACCGGGGGTTACCGGGGCCTCAATTACCGGGGTCTCAGTTACCGGGGGTTTCCGGGGCCTCAGTTACCGGGGCCTCAGTTACCGGGGGTTACCGGGGGTTACCGGGGCCTCAATTACCGGGGCCTCGGTTACCAGGGCCTTAGTTACCAGGGCCTCAGTTACCGGGGCCTCAGTTACCAGAGCCTCAGTTACCAGGGCCTCAGTTACCGGGGCCTCAGTGGGGGGGGGTCAACCTCATTTTACCTCATGAGGCCAGCCAAAAAAGGCAAAATTGGGATGAGGTGAAATGAGGTAAAATGAGGTAAATAAATCTAGTTTTCTAAGCCTTTTTTTAGAGACAAAAAAGGGTTTATTCGAAGTCATTATACTATAATTCGAGGCTCTGCATGGTCTCCCATGACATTTAATGGTTTATTAGGGGTGATGTGGTCCCTGGGAAGGGGCATTCCCAGTTTAACCTACTTACTCTCCAAACTTGGGGTAAATAAAACTTCGCATTATAATTATTATTTATGAAAAGAAAATTGAACATTTCAATTTCCATGATCCATTAGGATATTGTAAATATCACTTGCTAAGTTTTGTAAAGGAATTAGCAATAACTTTAGTGTCACTTTGGCAGTTGCCAATTTATGGGGATATTTCCGCATTGCATGACATGGACCATTTAAATAATATCTTAATTTGATATTGCGATTATCGAGTCACTCTGAAACAAATTGTGTCTAACTAGACCAAATGTAAACAACAGTTGTGCATGGAACTGGATTGGATATCTACATGAATTTAGCCGAAATTGCATAGTGAAAGGTAATTTTGTAATAAATTACTCATATAAACTCATACTTCATACAATTCTAAGTTCTTATGTACATGTTCAATGTTCATGATTCGCTGTAGAATAAAGGGCGGTTCACAAAACCACCTTTCGTTTAAATAATTAGATATCACCTCTAATTAGTTGCTCTATAGGGTCGGGAACAACCAAACATTTTTTTGTGTCTCTACGGTTTCGTATAATACTGACTTGGGCCACGCCCATATTTTTCACCAATTTTAACCAGGTAAAATTCTCTAAATCGTCAATTTAGTCACGAAGGAGTATGGAAGGAGATCTAAATGTGTGCTCCTCTAATATAAACAGTAGGAAATGGTTAACTTTATTCGAGGTCTCAGGTCTCTACAATGTCGGGAAGTTCCTGCAGGAATTTGCGCATTGCGCTGAAGCGCAAGATTCACAGCGCCAAAAGCGAAGGTCGTAGAGACATGAGACCTTGACTAAAGTTAACCATTTCATACCATTGCTATAAGAGTATGCCACTTTAAGAGTCCTGAACACACTCCTACAGCTCTTAATCGTCAATTATATGAATTTTACCTGTTAAAATATATCATCTTTAACTGATATCAATTTAGTTTAACACTGTTAATTTTTTTTTAAAACATAATACTTCACACCAAACTAACGCACAATATGATAATATAAAAAGGAAGGTTTTCCTTGGATTCCAAATTCAACTTTGATTATATTCTGGCACTGATTATCATTTCTCGATTGTTCTCCATTTTCCAATGCAGTCAGCAAGTTCTAATTAAGGTAGACTAGGTTTCGAATCTTCATATTATGTTCAGAAGGGGCTGTTACCAGAGGAATATCTTCTTGGAACAAGGGAATGAATGAGGTCTTCATTTATTTCTTCATAACTCGTCAGTGACAGTCCGGACAGGATGAGCATTGACGAGATCCACTGATTACTTCATAGCTCGTCATTGATAGGATCAGTATTAAATGAGGTCGAATGATTACTTCATAGCTCGTCACTAACTGGATCAGCATAACATGACTAACAACTAACGAGGTCCAGTGATCTCTTGCTGATACGTCAAGACAAGATCAGGAAATAGCTAAAAATATCGAAAAAAATTAGCTTAGAAATTACAGAGTACAAATGCCTTCTTCACAACTAACTCTTCGGCCTCATCTTTTTAAATCACTCATTCCCTCTGAAACAAGATAATGCTTAGGACTAGGAAGAACTTAGTTAACTTCTTGTATGATTCGGTAAGAGGAAAATTCCTTAGTAAGCTAACATTCTTTTGTAGGATGTTACCACTTATCATATAATCTGTTATCCAGCATAATCCCACAACTAGACCCTCTTATTCTTGAGTCTTGACAATGACAGTAGCAATGTACACTATTTTGATGCTCGATCCAGGTCTCCAAGAAAACCTTCCTTTTTATATTCTCATATTGTGTGTTAGTTTGGTGTGAAGTATTATTTTCTTTTTAAAAACTAACAGTGTTAAACTAAAATGATATCAGTAAAAGATGATATATTTTAACAGGTTAAATTCATATAATTGACGATTAAGAGATATGGAAGTGTGTTCAGGACTCTGAAAGTGGCATACTCTTATAGCAATGGTATGAAATGGTTAACTTTAGTCAAGGTCTCATGTCTCTACGACCTTCGCTTTTGGCGCTGTGAATCTTGCGCTTCAAGCGCAATGCGCAAATTCCTGCAGGAACTTCCCGACATTGTAGAGACCTGAGACCTCGACTAAAGTTAACCATTTCTTACTGTTTATTATAAGAGGAGCACACATTTAGAACTCCTTCCATACTCCTTCGTGACTAAATTGACGATTTAGAGAATTTTACCTGTTAAAATTTTTGCCGAGATTTACCTCATTTTACCTCATGAGGCCAGCCAAAAAAGGCAAAATTGGGATGAGGTAAAATGAGGTAAAATGAGGTTGACCCCCCCCCCCCCTCAGTTACCAGGGCCTCAGTTATCGGGGCCTCAGTTACCAGGGCCTCAATTACCAGGGCCTCAGTTACCAGGGCCTCAATTACCAGGGCCTCAGTTACCAGGACCCCCCCCCCCCCCCCGACATGACACATCATACACCCTGTGAATGAGAACATAATGTGTGACGTCAAATTACAGAGTACAGACAAATGAAGAACGGGGCTCCGTGTAAATATACCGTGTATACTGTATATATATACGCCTCACCACCGTTATCAGGCAGTAATAATTCCTTTAATTAGGAGGGTCGGGTGTAGAATGTGATACCAGGTAGGGTCGTGTGTACTACCCTGACATCTGGCTCTGTCAGGGTTAGTACACTCCCCGCCTATATCTGTCAGGGTTAGTACACTCCCCGCCTATATCTGGCAAGGTTAGTACACTCCCCGCCTATATCTGGCAGGGTTAGTACACTCCCCGCCTATATCTGGTAGGGTTAGTACACTCCCCGCCTATATCTGGCAGGGTTAGTACACTCCCCGCCTATATCTGGCAGGGTTAGTACACTCCCCGCCTATATCTGGCAGGGTTAGTACACTCCCCGCCGCGCCTATATCTGTCAGGGTTAGTGCACTCCCCGCCTATATCTGTCAGGGTTAGTACACTCCCCGCCTATATCTGGCAGGGTTATTGTACACTCCCCGCCTATATCTGTCAGGGTTAGTACACTCCCCGCCTATATCTGGTAGGGTTAGTACACTCCCGCCTATATCTGTCAGGGTTAGTACACTCCCCGCCTATATCTGTCAGGGTTAGTACACTCCCCGCCTATATCTGTCAGGGTTAGTACACTCCCCGCCTATATCTGGCTATCTGGCAGACATATTTTACAACAGGGTCCTGCAACCTCCATTTTATAAGAATGGTCACTGTAAAATGTTTTGTGTATCCAGATCTATACAACAATAAGATGCCAAATAAAATATCAAAACAAAGGTAATTGTATGATTTAGATTGCGTTAAAAACGGATAAATTCCTTTTCTACTGATATGGCCGCTTTATCGCCTTGATCGAAATATCTTTTGCTAATTCTCACTCAAAACAAATACAAAGAAACTCTTATAATTCAGATATTCTGCAGATTAGTTAAATTTACTTTATTTATCCTCACGATTACAATAATAGTAGTAGTGTTAGAAAGGCACTGTAATAATAATAGTAGGTAGTAGAACTAGTAGTATTACCCCCCCCCCCCCCCCCCCTAATTACAATTACTTTAAATAACACAATAACTTACTATCAATAAAATAAATTTTAAATCAACAAAAGATTTAAAGATTTAAAGGACCAGTTAACTGAAAAATTTGTAGTCTCCAATTTGGCTAAGATTTAAATCAGCTGTGACAAACTGGTAAAGAATCGTATCGCCGAAAGAACCAACTCTCTAGCGTACGTGTAACGCGTGTTATTGCAATAATAAGCTGTGGCCTCGTGACGTCATTAAGTCCCTCAGTGCGCGCTTGCATAGCGTAATTTACATTACAAATGTTTATCATCGTCAATAAAACACGTGTAACTCACTCAAATTTTAGAATTATGACTATTACCCTAGTTCTCCAAAATCCTTATAGTTTTGGCTATCATTCTAACTAAAGGAATAGCTGATTGGATGTACAGTGCTCACGTCATGATTTTAAACAGTGATATAGGTTCTTGAACAGTGGCGGGTGAATGTACGATTAGAAAGTTTCTGCTATTACAACTTATGTCATATGTGATAATTTTAGATTGTTTTCATTGCTTAATTACACAAGCAGCTAGGGAGACTGTACCGATTATTTTTCCCCAGTCCATGAAACTCTAACGAATTTAGAAACGATCTAGATATAAAGTAGGAGTTTGTTCAATTCCGAGAGCAATTATATTTATAGCATAGCGAAATTTATAACTATAATCCGCATGTGTCAGCCAGTACAGGAGACAAGAAGTCTGGCTACTTTACGGCTGTTCCTCTGGGACCATTAGTAGAAGTAGCTTCTATCAGAACAGTGCCGTGGGAACAGAATTCCCGCCAAAATACCCGGTCTCGGGTCTACCAAACAGTAATACTGTTCGGAGTGTACGGTGTGCAGTGTGTTTTGAATTAGACTTACGGCTAACCTAGTTGTTATCCTAATTGCATTATCATCGGTACATAACATAAATAAACTACTGGTAAGTTTAAATACCAAGTGCAAACGTGTTCAGTCAATCGACCCACTGAACAATTATAGAATTTCCAAGACCCTATTATTCTCTGGCCATATATTACGGCACGATCGATTGTTAGATGGCTAAACGACCAACGTTATAATCTATACAATTCTAAAACTATGAGCTAGCACTTTAATCTAAAAACACACTTTTAATATTACTCCTGATTTTTACATTTCACGTAAAACATTGTCGCCACAGGTTAATCATGGACACTAACAGCTTAATTTGAGATAAATGACTTATGAGTTTCTCTAAAGTTAACTCTTAAGTTGTGTACTCCAGTCATTTATGGAAATTTATGGAAATGAACCTGCAAATGTTCAAATACTCACGAAAATTTGCACAGACCTTCCTGAAGGTATGAATAAACGATTTTCGAGACATTTTTTTGACCGTGGAGAAAACCCAGGAGGGCCACGCCCATATTGACCCAATAACGTAACCGACCCCTTGCTTCTGAAGGTCGTGGAGACTTCAAAATAGGCTTAAACGAAGCCGCATATGCATGTTTATATAGGAGTTATTGAGCAACACATGGCCTAAAATCCTTACTTTTCGAGAAATTTGCCAAAAACCATTTTGGGCGTGGTGCTGAGCCCATTTTCGATAGGATCGTGATAGAGTCTTTAGACAGGGTGCAAAAGAACCGCAATGAGCATATTAATATATGACTTACGAACAAACATATGCCTTAAAGTGCTTACTTTTTCAGTTATTGGCGAAAAACTGATTTTCGGTTCCAGAAATCATGCAAAACTATGGGTATCTGGTAACTTGGGCTATGAAGGCCCTAAAGGTTTTTAAATGTGTGCAAATTGTGCAGAATGGCCATGTTTATATACAACTTATGAAGCAACATGTACCCTAAATTACTTACTTTTCGAGTTATTTGGGGGAAAAGATTGTATTATGTCCATTTTCTACCTGTAAAATACAGTCTCACGAGCTCTTCTGCGCGCGTGAGGGACTTTATGACGTCATCGCCAAAATAATACAAACGCTATTTACACGCGTTAGAGAGCAGTTAGAGATTTAGGAATTTCGACTCGTTGCTTAGTTTGCTATTTGTCACAATCTGTCAGAATATGAGGATAACTTTTTTTTCAGTTAACTGGTCCTTTAAAACAAATTTACAAGTGATTGAACTTACTCGTGGTCTTTGAGCTCAATGTAAGGTTTTGGTACAAGTCCTTCCTCTCCGTGACGTTCTGCTGTGTACCAATTCTGGTCTGTCCTCATGTCTAAAACCTGGAAAATTAATCTTTTAAACAATATGTTAGCAGCCAGCGTGCCTTTTTTAATATCAAAGATGCCTTTTTTTGAATTGAAGATAAAATAGAATAATTAACAAAAAACAAAATTAGATAAAATAGAAGAAAACACCTTTAAATATCCTGTCATAAGCATGCAACATATTTTTCAGCAAATTCTTAAATTAGAAGCGTCACATCAGAAGCGTTGCCAAATAATCCTGAAGTTACCTTGATAATGTCTCCTCTTTTAAATGAGAGTTCATCGGTCTGTGTAGCTTCAAAATCAAATAATGCCAAAGCTTCCATTGCTGGAGCTTAGCCCAGAATAAATCCTATGCTATAACAGTCAGTTAATTAGAATTGTATAGCATAATATGTTTTATTCAAAGTTACCTTTATGATATCTCCTCTTTTAAATGAGAGTTCATCACTCTGCGTTGCTTCAAAATCAAATAATACCAAAGCTTCCATTGCTGGAGCTCAGAATAAGTCCTATGCTATAACAGTCAGTTAATTATAATTTTTACAGAATAATTTCAATTTGATCACGTAAGCACAGAAACAGTTTCTAAAATTAATTACTGCTTTCGATATCTGTCAAGTCTTGAAATAGTAAGGCTGAAAACAAAACTTGTAAATTAGTTTAGTACTTTGTTTAGAGTACAGTACAACTTGTATTAGTTGCAACAATTAGTGACATGATGTGGAGCACACAGGATCGAGGCCATGTGTTCAGTATCATGAGTCATTAAATTTAAGATAGAATAAGTTATCAAATTTAACATGAAACATGAAATACAGTGGCAAATATTTTGTGGGCAACTGCTGAATGATCTATAGGGTCTCATATAATTTATTGCAACTTTATCTCAGTGCAAGGCCTGGATCTGTAGCTGTGCACAGTGCATAATAAATAATTTGCTGGCCAGTTTTGCGTCACACATTTAAAACAGTAACTTTTGGGCTTTTACTTGAAAATGTTACTATATACTAGTAACTAAAGGAACAATTTTATTCATATGTAATGTGTTTGGGCATAAAGAGGGGAGGTTATGTCTCAATGAGACATAACTTTCAGCTGATTCTACTGCAGGATTGTACAGATTGATGGCGCAAGCAGGTTTCTAAACTCTAAAGGGCTTGTTATCAGAAATTTGCATTGAGACCCTTACATCATTTATAACATTTATGTGTAAACAAGAATTTCGCTGCGGTTACACCACGCACGATCAAATTTCCCTACTATGTAATTGTTTTACTTGTATTGCATCCCAGAGTGCTGTTGGCGCACGTGATAATCGTTAATATTATATTAGGCATGCAAAACTTGAAAACTCTGCGTGCCGTCACGTACACGTCGATCTGTGGTTTGGTTAGTTGGTTGTAGACCACTTCATATTTTGCGCGGTTTTGTTTTATGTTAACAATGCGCACATCAATTGACAATCATCATGTCACGTCATATAATTATTGTATCGTATGCCAACTTTATTGACTGTTATATAATATTCATCTTAGTTATTATTTGTATCTAACATTAACTAATAAATTTTGATGCTTACTCGACACATCTACACTCTACAGCACTAAGTACTACTAACCGACCCATTCAAGTGGGCAATAATATACTCTTTCCAAAGCGAAGGAACTCATTACCTTATTTTAAACAATTTATCCTGTTTTCCCAATATTGGTAAATTTAGATAATTAGTATATTATAATAATATGAAGTGGATGTCAATTAATATTAGCAAGCTTCACACCAGGCCTTGTTAAAAGATCACAGATCCTTCTATACAGTTTAAAGGGAACAGTAGTAAAATTAATATTTTAGACTGAAAAATGTATTGAACTATGAATTATGATTGCTGGTATGTGACCATTTGATTCAATATCTTTATCCATAAGATAAGTTGTGGAGTGGACAAAGTTTGTTCATAGAATGTATTCTAGTTTTCGTCCATGAGGCCGGCATCATCAACATCTGTAATCAAGCAGTTGCAGTTGGGAATGGCCTTGACAGGAGAAATTGCTTTAAGATTATTATTATTTTAAGCTAGCAGAGGGTCTTTATGAAATTTCTCTCAAAATTGATTTTATGGTTGTTTCTGATAAAGGGGAGTGATATTATATCTATCTGCTGCTTTTGGTCCTATGGAAAGTTCAAAGGTCAAAGGTCAGCGCTAATGTGTAATTGTAATTTTGAAAATCTTGGACCTGGAAAAATCGTCAAAAACGAGGACCAAGATTTTCAAAATCGAATAAAATATTTCTAAGGCCTATCTTAAAATTGTGAAATGACATGAACGTACTTAAGTTTAGAGACTAGGATTAGTGAGCGATACAAAATGATGCTATGAATGAGAAGTGACGGTTTAACCACGATATTCATTTCATAATGATTTATATCTAATTTAATGCTCTCTCATGATAAGTTGTTAGTAGTCAACATCAAAGTACACAACAGCAAAATTTAAAATTAACGAGAAAAAACAACAAATATGTTGTTTCTTAATAACGTTAAAATACCAATTTGATTGATTGAATAATAATTTTATTACTAGTTTTAGTATTTTTATTAGTGTTCAGATGCAGATCTGATTAATCAGATCTCGCTTGATATTATACTGCCGTTCCCTGAGAAAAGGCAGTAAGTCACATCAATGTCATTTTGAGAAAATGGGACAAAAGTGTTTGTCGTTTTTTAGGTAATTTTATTCGTATAAACGGGGTTAATTTTGACATCTATGTGTAAATAAATTATTGTCGTATGTCCTAAACATGCTTAAAAGCATAAGTTCACCAACACAAATCTATAAAAACCATTTTTCTCCAGAATAACTGAACTATTTTCCCATCCACATTGGACTTACTGCCTTTTCTGAGGGAATTGCGGACTTACTGCCTTTTATCAGGATCGATTTCAACCGATTCCTCTCTAGAAAGGCAGTAAGTCCATTTTTCCTCAGATAAAATCAACACAAAATATACAATATTTCTATATTTTTGATCATATCCTTGCAATATAATTCTGTGGGCCTCCTTTGCATTGCAAGTGTGTAATATTTACGAAAAATGGATAATTTCTCGCTCAAAATGCCTATAACTGCTTACATATCGAATATTTTGGAATAAGTTTTACAGCATCGTATTCAGCTCGGTCAGACGCATTAATTTGGAAAAAAATATTTGAACATACAATATTTAAAGCACCAAATTTTTAAAAAAATGTTTCAATAATTCACACAAGGGGGGACCCTTGTGTTCAGGTTCAAAAATTTTGAAAATAATTTTTCTTTAAATTTTGAATTATTAGTACCAAAATTTGTTGCTTGCTGAGCTGATTACGACCACATAAAAATTATTTCGATATAACTAAAACTGTGGAAGTTATAGGCCAAAAACTATAAAAACTGCAAATAAATCTGGACTTACTGCCTTTTCTCAGGGAAAAAGTTCCCTCACGGAAAAAGTTCCCTCAGAGAAGGCTGTACAAATGGACTTACTGCCTTTTCTCAGGGAAGGTTTTGGGATAACGTGCTAAATTGTCAAGTTTTGTGTGACTTACTGCCTTTCGTGACAGCTAAAACAGTATTTTTATAACGTGATTCATAGCTTAGGTTGTAGAGAATCTTCTCCTGAAAATTTTGGTACCAATATATCAAAATTTCGAAAAATGGACTTACTGCCTTCTCTCAGGGAACGGCAGAATACTGGACATTTATTTTAGTACTTTATGTTATATATGAGATTATATGATTGTCATATTGTTAATTGATTGTCATATAATATATATTATAGCTTATGTAAAGAGAGAAGAAGTGAAGAAGAGAGACTAGGATTGAGATCCAACGAGAGAGGAACTTCCCGGGAGTAGATGTCTCGGAGTCTAGTAGGAAGGTTTACTAGCTGCAGTGACTAGTTATAGTACAAGGTGTGCTAGCCTGTGAAGTGTGGATAAAGTATATGGCCGTATTATAGTTTGTTACAAAGAAAAACAACGTTTAAAGAATTCAACTATAGGTGTATCTCCCCAACACAATTCTCAGTAAAGTCAAAAGACCCCGTGTGCCACGTTGCACAGATATAAAAAGTCTTGATCACGTGACTCCTAGTGAGATCACGTGATGCAAGCGTTTAACCCTGACGGCCCTAGGAGGGTGATAAGATCTAATTAACAGGAAGGAAGGGAGTGCAAAAGGGATACCAGAAGTGTAAACAAAAAGGGTGAAGTAGACAACTCAAAGGGTTCTAAGAAAACATTGCCTGGGAAAGGGGAAGAATGTGGTAAACTTCAAGAACACGTTCACAACTATCAAATTAGGAAAAATATAGGAAAAGAATCTAGGCGCTAGTAAGGCTACAGTCAAAGGTAGACGTAAAACGATACAAGAGTACAATATCTCACCCCTTCAAAAAACTAAATAAAATATGAAAAAAGATTTATTTACTGAACAGCTCTAACCCCAAGCAAAAATAAAAGGTAATCCAGCGGTAGAAATATTGTTAAACATGAATTACCCGTAATCCCCGGCTTAGAACTGGTCCTCCGGGGCGTGGGTTCGTATCCCACCGTGGCCTCCAGATAAAGTATATGGCCGTATTATAGTTTGTTACAGAGAAAAACAACGTTTAAAGAATTCAACTATAGGTGTATCTCCCCAACACAATTCTCAGTAAAGTCAAAAGACCCCGTGTGCCACGTTGCACAGATATAAAAAGTCTTGATCACGTGACTCCTAGTGAGATCACGTGATGCAAGCGTTTAACCCTGACGGCCCTAGGAGGGTGATAAGATCTAATTAACAGGAAGGAAGGGAGTGCAAAAGGGATTCCAGAAGTGTAAACAAAAAGGGTGAAGTAGACAACTCAAAGGGTTCTAAGAAAACATTGCCTGGGAAAGGGGAAGAATGTGGTAAACTTCAAGAACACGTTCACAACTATCAAATTAGGAAAAATATAGGAAAAGAATCTAGGCGCTAGTAAGGCTACAGTCAAAGGTAGACGTAAAACGATACAAGAGTACAATATGAAGGACCTCTGTGGATAGTTCAAGGGAACACCGGTCCCTAGTGTAGGTTTTATCTCTTAACTAGTTTCATGGTGATTGTAGGTTTATTTATTTCTTATGTTACAGATGATTCATACTAATTGTACATCATATTTCAAATGGTTTTATTATTGTAGCGTAAGTATGAATAAATTAAATTTTGTAATGTTTTTATTCATGATTAATATTTGATAAATTATTACCTTTAAATTTGATGGAGAAATAGTTATGGACATGTTTTTTTTTAAGTGTGGTGAAAATGACTTTGAGTGCCATGACACTTTTGACA